AATGGGAGCATATTTCTTTGCAAACATGATGCCAAATTCTATAATTATGAGAAACCCGACATAAACGTGTTTTTTAAACACAGCACCTCAGCAGCTCCAAAAACCCATTGTGACTAAATCCACTCTCTGTCTTTTCAACTACTTCTCCTTTAAAAGACGAATAAAAGCCAAGGAGTGAGGAGAAGGCCCTGCTCATTAACCCCTCCGTACTTTACAATGAGTCCTGGAGGCGCACTGCGCCAAAGAGCCAGCACTCCTCTAACTAGGTATCTGTGTGTGTGTGTGTGTGTGTGTGTGTGTGTGTGTGTGTGTGTGTGTGTGTGTGTGTGTGTGTGTGTGTGTGTGTGTGCGCGCGTGCGTGTGTGTGTGTTAGGAGGAGGGGGGGTGGTTCAATTTTCCAGTACAATGGTAAAACCCAATATTTCTTTCAAAAGCCGCAGAATGAAATTGCATGAGTTTTACTTTTTGTGCCAAACACTTTAGCGACTGACTGAGCAATGAGCCTTAAAGCAACACGTGAATGAAGTGGCGACGGGTAAATTACAGAAACAATCTTATCTGGACATTTTCAACTGAGGACAGATCGGAGCGTTTCAGACAGTTTGCAGCCAGACATCATTTGATACATTCATGCAAAACGAAACTCTCTATTCCCAGCGAGCACAGAGCAGGCCAGCAGAAAACCTCTGCAGCACAGCAACGCTTCGTGAAGGAGGAGGTCTTCGAAAGGTCGAATTACAAGCACAACGCACAACAACATAAGCAGTATTTGAAAACCTGGGCTTCTCTGAGCACAGTTGGATCCTGCAGGTCAGAAATGTGCAGCAGTTGAATTGCTGAAATGTTCCTCTGCTGCAATGCAAATCTATTTTATTAGTTTTGTTAGAAAAATGTGGAACATCATTGTTCCAAACAGTTTGTATTTTTTTGTGACGTAAAGCACTTTGAACTTCCTTTTTGCTGAAATGTGCCACACAAATAAACTTGATTGATTGATTAACATTCATGTTGCCTTTCTGTCCACATTTTTCAGCTTATCATTGTTTTCCTCTTTGAAGCAAAAAGGTACATAATGAACTGTTGTCATCTTTCTCCTTTTCCTACTTAGTACATGTTAATCGGTTAACCGGGTTTTGGCAGTTATGGACTAAGGTTTGTTTCAAGCTCATTCTACTTTCTTTAGGGTTGTGCAGGAATAGACGCTGGGAGGTGATGGACACCTGCTGTTTCTGCTCTGGATCGATAATCTTCTGAATTTCTGTTACTGTGTAAATTCTGGATTTAAAAAGCAAGCATTTCCAAATTGTTGTCATTTTGCCTCTCTCGACATGAAAAGAAACAACAACCCACCCCTGTCTGTGAAACGTTTCATTTAAAGACACAAACAAGGACAAATGAGCTGAGCAACATAATTCATTCTCTACCTGAAATAAACATTCAGTAAGAGTGGCACATGTAGATTACGTTTACTCAGTTACATTTACTTGAGTAACTGTAAGAAAACAAAATAACATTTTTAGAAGTATTTTTACTTATATACTCTAATTCTACTTAATTAAGTTCATTTTGAAGTATCAATAAAATTTCTGGATTCTCTCCCCACTGAATGAAGAACAGACATGTTTTAACCAAAAATTCACCAAACATAGAAACACACCTGCAATTTTTATATGCATTGCTTACATATATATAATTTTTTCTGTTGCCAGTTTAGTAAGTCAACACCATCGACTCACTAAGTCGATGGTGTTGCAGTTTTTCCATGTAATAAATCTCAAACACCAAGGTGCCCTTTTTCCCCACTTGAGTACCTGGCCCCCAAAATATCTGTGCGTGCCACTGCTCTCTGCCATGTTTGCAGATGTTGTGGGAACTTTATCTACTGACACAAACTGTCCCCCTCCATCCTCTTTAGAAGAAAAAGTCCTCGCCGCTGCCGCGGGGACGCTTTAATTGGAATTTCATGCGGGCCAGACAGAGGGGAAGCTCATGTAAGTTAACATTTGGTCGAATTAATTGGTCCCTTTCTCTCTTTTCACCTCAGTCAGGCTATTGCGGGCCGCAGACGAAGCTGCCTGTTAATCTCCCATTTTAAAATCAATTCACTGAGACAGACAAAGAGTCCGCCTCGCGCTTTTCTTCTCTTCCTGTCCCAAACGAGCTCCTTTGTGGCCCGCAAATTGTCTAAATCCCCCTTCGGCGGACCCCCGTCGGAGTGGGGTGGGGTTGGGGGTTTGAAGACGTCCGCGTGTTGCTGACAGCTGATTAGCGCGCGCTCCCGCCACCCGTAATCTCCGCCGTGTGGGCGCGCGCCTAAAGTAAAGCTAGCTCCCGCTCCCAGCTTCGTGTTTGTGGATGTTGAGGCTCAGATGTGAGGGGAAACCCGGAGAAAGAGTGCGAAGAAAAAGACCAACTTACCCGCTTGAGGTTGCTTACCGACGTTCGTGTCCCCGCGGCCTGCGCGCGCGGCTCGTCGGCGGTCGCTCTGTAAACCTGCGACGTGTTCGAGCGCGCACGTCGCTCGCTGCTGGCACGTCGATGTTTTTGTCCAAACGGGCCAACGAGCGAGTTTTGCTGTTTGTGAGGGAATGTGCAAATATGTCAGGGACCCGCAGAACGTCCGCAAACGGAGCGCGTGGATCCAATCGGGACAGTTGAACTGCTCAGGTTGAACTGTCCAAGACCACAAACACTCGTCACATATCAGAGGAGACATTCATTTCACCAGACCGATATTTTTGGACTAACCAAATAAGAACAACGAGACAGATTCTTTCCAAAAATACATCGTGTCCGTCCGATTATATGATTTGTTAGAGTAATACAACACTGAACAATTATCAATCAATCTCAGCTGACTCACATGTTTGAAGTCGTCATTTGTTTTGCGGTGATAACAGTCGAATAAACGCCTTTCAGATTTAATGTTACAGTTTAATGTCATCATATTTTATCGTGATATAATAGCTATTAACTGGACTTCTGCGGCGTCACTCACAAACACCCTCACACATGCGCGTCGGCGTCCTTCGTCAATCGGGGACTTGCCCAAGGACACTTCAGCACGAGTCGGAGAGAGACGGAATCGAACCTTTTGATTGCCATAGAAATCTTCCAGCCTTCTTCCGCAGCCTTCTTTGTAAAGTACAGAGAGAGTGACAGGTGTAAGAATAAATAAACAAATGATAATAATAATCAAAACTTCCCATGCAGGCTCCCCTAAGTTTTTACCAGCTTGCACCGTTTGACGGACTTACTCAGCTCTTGTTCAAACCGGATCATTGACAAATCACCTTTGCAGCATTTAAATATTTAAAGGGCCGCTCTCCATCGTGTCAGTGGCTGATTTAATCTCTGCGACAGGATTCACACTCATCCCGGAAGCTGATTCCATCAGCAACACCGTCCGCTCAATGAGAGTCGTGCTGAAAAGCTTCACAGAAGTCCGGCTCTCCCGGTCCGGCTCTTTCGGACCGGCTCTCCCGGACCGGCTCTCCCTGCGCGGTGATTTGCTCGACACTTCCGGTTCTCCGCCGGACCAGAGTTAAAGTGAAAGCGCCAGCGCCACAGAGCAGTTTGGTGATTCACTTCTCCACTGTCTCTTTGGCCTTTTTGGGGGTTTTTTTTCCTCCCCATTTTCATGACCAGATATCCAATCCGCCATGACTGCATGAACGTCGCTCTTGAGATTTTTATTTATTTATTATTGTTTTAAACAATCTTTTCTATTTTCTCAGAATATGTTTTTGTTATTTTTTGGGGGTGGGGGGCAAATTTGTTAAAGGTGCGTAGCCTCATGTCGACAGACTCATATTGACTTGTGCAGTTTTTTGTTGTTATTGTTTGTTTCAAATATTCATTCCTCTAGTTTGCCCCTGTTTTGATAAACAGACATTTCTTATTTGCTTGGGAAGCTTCATAAAGAGAATCCTGCTCCATTCCGCATCCGGGTTTCCGCAGAGAAAACAGCGGAACGCTGCTGCGGTCCGACACGGAGAGATGATCCGAGAACTGAACACAAAGAATCACTTCGGATCCTCGTCCCTCCGAGTCCAAAAGTCGGAACTTTTTTTTTTTTTTTTTTTTTTTCGTGATCACAACAGATCACCTTCTCCACAAGAGCAGCCTCCGCATCACCTGGCTCTGGAAGTGAAACGGGGCGTCTCTGCGAACTTGGTTGGGTTTGCGGCGGGGCTGCTGGCGGGGCGAAGGTGCGCAGGGCGTCATCTGCCAATATTGGCCTTGCCAGGTTATCCCAGGGACCGGCCGCGCGCGTTAATTAGCTGTTAACAGAGACGGAGCCATTTGGGAGCACGTCGCGACTCTCCGCAGAATGTGCGCCGGGATAATATTGTTCCAGGAGACGTGCGCAGAATGACCCAGACTTTATTAGCGCAGGGGCCCAGACGACGAGCTGCGGCCTGAGTGCTCCATTATCTCCAGCTCTGATGAGTGGCTCCGGATGAGACGCGCTCTCCCCCCCCTCTCCCTCCTACTCCCGTCCCTCATGCTGCCGGACCCCCGGGGCCGTTTAGCTGGTTAATGTAATTTGCTTTCAAGGGCTGTGTTATCTCCCATCATTTGCGCCATTATTCCCCGAGTCAAGTGTAAATGTGGCTTTATTAAAATCGTGTCTGTCAATAAATGTTGAAGTAAAGTGGCCGCGGAGCATGCCGGTCTGTCGCTTTCTCCCGAGCACGCGGAAACCGCTCACCTGCAACAGAATGAAGAACAGAGGAGGCCTCACCTGGCGGGATGTTCATCCAATAAGCAAATGCGTAACAGTGAAAGTGGCTGCGCGTCACAAATCTGGGTGTTTGGATATGAGCTGGTTGTTGTTGTTGACTTTGCTGCGTATTATTAGAATGACTTTTTTTCTGCCAGCTGAAATATGTCCAACATTCAGGTGGTATATATATATATATATATATATATATATATATATATATATATATATATATATATATATATATATAAATAACACGGTTGAGACGGCGAGCTCTCGTTATAAGTTATAAGTTATTTATTCACATTAACACTTTCCAGCAAAATACATAACATGGCAACTCATATTTAAATAGCAACTTTTTTTTTTGGACCCGATGTGTTCATCGGTCTGGTGGTTCGGCCCTGCGTTCCACGTACATGAGGAAGAATTCTAGATGACAAAGAAAAGAACGTTCCTTTCAGCTCCTCGGGTCCGGTCGGCTCATTCGTTCCCTCTGTGTTAGTGCAGGGGCCCCTAAGACTCGCCACGCCCATTTGAGTCCAGTCTCAGCGGGCTTTCTCACCTCAGGCCTGGATTTATTTTTTATTCTTTTATATATATTTTTTTTCATCCCAAGAACACTAGTCACGGTGACCCCGTCCTCCCGGCAGACCTCAGCTCTGCGGCTCCCTCAGGGCCTCTGAGACCGCAGAAAAGCCGCTCTCGTGGAGCTTCCTGATGTGCTTCTTCAAGTCAAAGTTGCGGCAGAATCCTTTGCCGCAGGTGGCGCAGGTGAACGGCTTCTTGTCGTTGTGCGTGTGCATGTGAAACGTCAGGTTGTAGATCTGGTGGAAGGCCTTGTTGCAGATGGAGCACTTGTACTGCTTCTCCCCGCTGTGCGTCAACTTGTGGTTCTTGTAGTTCCCTAAACACGAACGAGCAGAAAGAAAACTGAATGAGCAGAGCGACCCTGAAGTTGAGAGGAAACAAAAAGTGTCCAGTGCAACAGGGAAAAAAAAAATCATGCAGCAGATTTATTAGAGCTTGATAAAGCTGGTTGTTGTCATGTTTCTTTGTGTCAGTATTACTGAACACTTCAACACTAAATGTTATGTGACTTATTAGTCATCACGTCAACCTGCTGCCACTTCCTGTCACATCCAGAGAAAACAAGACAGGAGATATATATATATATATATATATATATATATATATATATATATATATATATATATATATATATATATATATATATATATATATATATATATATATATATATATAACCACAAACCACAAATAAAATACACAATCTTTTCTTTTTATTATTATTACTGTTATTATGAAATAAACCAATTTTTCTTTAAATACAAAACCAGGAGGTGGAATTAGTTTCTTTCTTTAAATCAGGTTGAGTGGACAAACTTCACAATTTATATTTAATGGTCTCATCTGGAAATGCCAAGAGGTAAATCTCAGCAAAAACCTAAGTTATTTCAGCAATATGCTTTAAATTATGATAATTATTATTTTCATAATAATCAACACAAACTCGTCAATAGGTTAAACGATTTGTCAGTGACATCTTTCATGTGTTTCAGTAGATTATTTTATTTCAGCACCATTTTAGGCATATATTTTAGCAAAGTGGGGATCAAAAATCTCTCAGCGCACAGATCCACCGTGGAGCTGCGCGGAGTCTCCTTCCCTTCATTCCAGTTTTTTCTTTTCTGTTTTTTTTTTTTTTTGCGTTAAGGTCGAGAAGTTGTCAAACTTTGTCAGAATCAAGCGCTGTGGCAAAAACTCCAAAAGAAAAGAGAGAAAGAAAGAAAGAAAAAAAACAGCCAACTTTGCTGGAGTTCAAGCAGCTGACCCAGAGCAAATGCTGCCGTCTTCGGGAAAGAATTAGTCCGTGGAAATGTGCCACGTCCTATTTGTGCTGACGGCTTCCCGTGAGCCCGCAGATATTTAGCACAACGCGGCGGCTCCGCTTCCCGCATCCCCGACACAACATGCGGGATCCTGTCGGGGTTCGCGACACGAAAAAAAAAAAAAAAAAAATACTGACATTGCGAGATGCAAATAAGTTATCGCTCTCACTGAGCTTCTCTTTCTTTCTTTCTTTTTTTTTCTTTCTTTCTTTCTTTCTTTTTCTGCATAAACTACTGAGGTAAAAAAGTACAAAGCGCAAACTTACTTCAGACTTTCTGCTTTATTTACCTAATTCAAGCGCCAGATCAAAATAATGAAACTACCACATGTATAATAATAATAATAATAATAATAATAATAATAATAATAATAATAATAATAATAATAATAATGGGACAAATGAGGACAATTACCTCTTTTTTTAAAGGTACTTTTAAGCGTTTTGGCTCAGATGTGCGTCACGTGTTTATTTTTATTTTTATATATATATACAGTTTAGATAGATTACACGTATTAAAACTAATGCGTGGAAAAAAACACACACGAATGAATACATTCAGTTCGTTTGACGGGTGGGAGGCTCCATGAAACACGCACCTTTCTGGTGGAAACCTTTCCCGCAGAACTCGCACACAAACGGCTTGTATCCGGCGTGGATGCGCACGTGCGTGTTGAGCGTGGAGCTCCTGTTGAACGCCTTGCCGCACTGGTTGCATTTGTGCGGCTTCTCCTAGGTGGAGAATATGTGAAGAAAACAGGTTTAGGGAGCAGATGAAAGCAAATGAAAGTGTGTTTGTCTGTCTCTCTCTTCTCTCTCTCTCTGTGTGTGTGTGTGCGTGCGTGTGTGTGTGTGTGTGTGTGTGTGTGTGTGTGTGTGTGTGTGTGTGTGTGTGTGTGTGTGTGTGTGTGTGTGTGAGGCAGCCAGGCCGGCCTGCAGGTGTGCCCCCCGCGTCTCACCTGAGTGTGGATGATCTTGTGCCTGCAGAGCGTGCTGGCCTGTCGGAAGCCTTTGCCGCACACTTTGCACACGAACGGCCGGGCCCCGGTGTGCACCGGCATGTGTCTGGTCAGGTTATAATGCGCGTTAAAAACCTACGAGAGAAAACAAAACACACACGCGATCCTGTTAGTTTGTGTGTTCTGGTCACACGCTGTCTGGTTTGTCTTCGAGCGGAAAGCTGTCGTTCCTTGAAGTTTACCTTCCCACAAACTTCACACGTGAAGTTTTTGTGCTTGCCGTCCGCGCTGCAGCCGCCGGAACTGAGCTTGCTGTGCGTCTTGACGCCGTTCTTCTCGCCAATCAGAGCGTGGTTTTCCTTCACTATCTGGTCCAGCTGGCCCGGCAGATGCTCCTTGTGTGGGTACTGGGGAGTGGGGAGCTTCTCGGAGCCGGCGCCGGCGAGCTTGGCGTTCTCTAGCAGCAAGAGTCTGTGGTGCGCCGACAGGGACGCCTGGGCCTGGGGGGTGGAGAGCCAGTGTCCCGCCAGGAGCTCTGACTGCTGGTACGCAGAGTCAAGGTAATTCAGGTAGTAGACAGATCCCACGCTGGGCACGGCCACGGCTTGGTGGATGACCTGCGGCTTCACCACCCTGCTGCCGGTGGTCGGCACCGGTTGCTTCAACGCGGTGTCCGCTCTGGCGCACACGCCGCAGTTCCCTTTGCACGGTGCGGCCGCCGAGCCACAGAACGTTCCCCTAAGGCTGGCTCTCCAGAGCTCCGAGTAGTTCATCAGCGCCTTGGCCTGCAGGTCGTAGCTGAACGGCTGCAGCGGGATCATGCAGGGGATGGGGGAGCAGAGGCCGAGCAACTTCTTCCCCTCTGAGCGCTCCTCCGCGCCGCTCCTCGGCTCCGAGCTCTTGGACATGATCCTGTCGATGGAGAAGGCCAGGCTCTTCGGAGCCCCGGAGGGCCCGGTCCTCCCGCAGGACATCACCGTCTCCAGAGAGGCAGAACTTGCCATTAAAAAAAAAAGAAAAAAGAAAAGAAAGAAAAACAAATTCTTGCCGTTCGCAGCAGAACTTGCTGAAAAGTCCGAGCGTTCCTGTTTTGTCACTCCTCTGAGTTCCCGGCAGCAGCAGCAGCAGATACAGGAAGCATCAGATTGATGCGCACCTTGATGTCAGAGTGTCATCCTCCTCCCCCCAACGCCTTCCCCAAAACCCCCATGCAAACAGCGGCGTCCAGGGGTGATGAGTTAATCCTCGTTAACTTTTGCGCGGAAAATTAACGGGGCATTTTCGAGTGAAGAACCAAAAAAGACATACACTCACACACACACACACACACACACACAAAAAAAAAGCCAGAGGGATGACAGCAGAATCTGAAGAAGAAGAAAAAAAAAATGCGGGAGCTCCAGGAGGATGCAGGAGCGCGGAGTTAAGAATAAGTTAGAGGTTACCTCTTTAATGCTCAGATGACTGGAGAGCCGCACGCCGGCAGGACACGCCCCCTCTTCAGCGCCGGTCCTGACATCAGCGGGCAGCAGCTCAGCCTCCACCCTCATCAACCTGCGCGCCATCAAATCAGGAAAGTTGAGGGGCTGGAGCCTGTAGACACAAGCGACTCTCTTTCTTTCTTTTCATTTCTTTTTTATTTCTCTCTCTTTTTTTTTGTCTCTTACCTGAAGAGGGAAATGTGTAAACGCATTCTGACTGTGCTCATTAAACAACAGGAGATGGAGCTGCTTTCATTTGGTTGACAACAGAGTAATCTCTGTTTTTGTGCTTCAGTTTGGGTTTTGTTTTTTGTTTTTTTCCAGTGAAAGTCGCTAATCCTCTAAGACGGGATTCCTCTCTCTCTCTCTCTCTCTCTCTCTCTCTCTCTCTCTCTCTCTCTCTCTCTCTCTCTCTCTCTCTCTCTCTCTCTCTCTCTCTCTCTCTCTCTCTCTCTCTCATATTCACTCAAACGAGCAGAGTTATACACTTTGGACCTCCGATTTCCACCTGTTTGAAGAACCCAGGCGACCCTTTGGATCCCAGAAACGCTTTTCCTCCACTCGATTGTAAGGAAGCAATTTTCCAGCGCGATTCACAGAGAAAGACAGAAAAGAGAGAGAGAGAGAAAAAAAAACCCAGAAGCTCATTTACTTTTCGCGACTAAAGCACTGCGTGAACGTGTTTTTTTGTCGTTCAAATAGAAAAGAGAGAATTAAAGAGGGAGAGAGGAGAAAAGGAAAGACTTAAGTTGGTGACATGTAAGAAGAGAAAATGGTAAGAGAGGGTATTTTTCTCCTGTCTCGCTTTATCTACATTGTTTAGAAGGAATTTGCTGGAATCCACTTCGTTGACGGAACGGCCTTGAGCTTCGAGGCCTTTTTTTATACCTGAGGGCCACAGACACAGAGGGACAAAGCATATGCAAAGCACATGTGGAAAACATCTTAAGTAAAGAGATCCCCTTTGTTTATGAGTCCCTAAACATTTGTGGTGAAAAAAATGATAATAAAAAATTCAAATAGAGCTGGTCAAGCAAGTTAAACAAGCACAAAATTAGAAAGGATAACATCATGACAAAAATAATGTTTTATTTTATCAAAAAATTAATAAAAAACAAACCAAATGTAGAAGCAATTGGGGGAAAAAAATCTTGTCTATAAAAACCCTGAGCAGATGACTGGTGTCTTCCTGGAGACACTCACTCACATTTTGGTACGCATGACTGCGTACCATTCTCCAGCTGGCGTTTATTTACAACCGTTACATTTCGGAGTGAAGAACCACATTGAACTGCGTCTCACCGCTGAGAAATGTCAGGTCGTCATTCTCAGACATTTTCTTGTAAGGGTTATGCGATGCTTTCATATAACCTACTGATTTTAGCAATCGTTAAGTTCATGATGGTGCGATTAATTTCCATGTGCCAGTGGGATGGGGGGGGGGGGGCTGTTGTTTATTGGTATTTACTATTTGCAAGATCTTCTAAATACAAATAGCCTCCACCGGGGCAAATTGTGTCAGATTAATAGGAATACAAATGCCCCATTGGAGGAAGACGGCAGCAGTAAAGAACCCGGAGGCCAGAGCAACATTTCTGGAGCCAGACCTGGGGAAGTTAGCACCAGGCGGCTCTCCCAGGATTGGCTCCCAAAAAGGACTGGAGAGACACTGGCTTCATGTGGGACCACTTCCTGTAGGGAGCAGCCTTAGAGAAAGAGTCAGAGGTTCTGTTATCCATGGTGGCTTGGAATAACAGCTTCCACACCAAAAGCAGGTTGACCAAAGCAGACTGGGTCCACAAGGCGTCCTCCCTTTAGACATTGTCTGGACATTTTAACTCTTGCAGGAGATGTCAGGGGAGAATTGGAAAAACTGAAAACACTGTTTGTCACTTCAGGAATAGCAACAGGTCAGGATGCTCGAACTGGTCTCTCAGTCTGGGTCAATAGGCTGACTGGAGATTTTCCTGCTTGTTGTTCACAGAGCGCTATATCCTCATAGAAGGTTAAGTGGAAGGAAAAAGTGCAGTAGTTGGATCACATTCTCATGTCTCCAACCTGATTTAACTTGCAGTGACAAAAAACTTCTGGGCCTTGTAGATAATTTGGGTTTTTTTCCTTGTCCGGTAAGGAAGGACAGCATTCATTCAGTTTTGGACAGGGTCCACTCTCATTCTGGACACGGAGCAGCATCGGGTTTTTTGGGTGCCACATAAGAAAGTCTTGTAGATTATGTAGCAACGTGACTTACAGTACCTCTGTCCCAACGTAGCCCTCTAGTGGAATTTCATCCGTGCTCTCCATGGTTATGACTTCCAGCAGAACTTACACCTCCACATTGTGGATGCAGCTGCTGTGAGACAGACTTTAATTTTAAACATCGCTGTTCAGATTGAAACTGTATTTCAATCTGGAGAGACTCAGACAGAGAAAGAAAGCAATTAGAAAAGTTTCTTGACGTGCATAAATTAAGTCTTTGGTGCTCGGTCTTTAAGGACATCGAGCTGTGATTGCGATAAGCTTGGATGAGCATTCCCGATGCTGATAGGAATGTCATCCCCCCGGACCCGATACTGGTGGTGGAGGTCGGTGAATGAAGTATGCCTGGGAGCCAGGACAGAGGAGGTGGCGAAGGGGTGGAGGTGGGTTGAGCACAGCAGCAAAGCGAAAGACGCCTTGGATGGACGTCCTTATCAACTGGACGTCCATCCAGTTGATAAGGACTGATTGATAAGTTGATAAGGTGATTGGCCGTGACATGGCTTGGTTCAGCGATGACAGGTCGTCGTTGATTAGTGGAATGCACCGATTGGATGATGCAGGTGGGGCTAAAGAGTCTTCCAGTTTGAATTTACGCCTAGGCTTCATTTGTCCATCAGGCTCGAAGCGTAAATAGCAATGAGGAGGACGGAGAATGACAGTGAGGGGGAAAGCGTGAGCAGCAGCTCTGGGGTTTTTAAACACAGTCATGACTCACACAAAGACTCACAGAGAACAAGGTAAGGATTCAGGCTCTTGCTGTGATCAGGCCAAAGTACTCAGTGCAAAAACACACTTATTGTAGATTTATAATTTATGGTTCTTTCTGCCCGAACCTGCTAAGACGTGGATGCAAAGCACGGCAGGGGGGTTCAAATTAATTTGTACAATGCCATGCATTTGAACGGAAACCTGCAACTTTTAATTTTGCCGATAAGCTGATAAAAATGTTGGGAGTGTTGCCTTGTGTGGAGCGAGGCCGAAAGCAGAAACTCAGAAACATTTAATGCACAAAGGAAAATATTGCAGCTTGTTCGGAAAAATGAGAAATAAGATGGATAAAAACAACAATACCTGTCGGACTGGTAATCCTGCCGGGTTGTGAAAGTGAACCAGGGGAATGTTTGCCTCCAAAATGTGACACAATCCAATGAAGTTCAAATGGTACTAAAAAAAAATAAAATCCTGGAAACAACACCGCAAGGCTCTTTTTGGAAACTTAAGAAATTCTATACTGTAATAATCCAACAATGACCTTGTAGAGTGTTTAGCCACAATTGTACAAAACATCAGTCAGTTGTCTGTCATTACAGTAACATAGATCATAAAGATAACATCTGTTGCAGAGGTCTTCATTTATATCACTGAAAATCACAAACATGTGTCTTGTCAGTCATAGTGTCATACAGTAAGACTCAATGCACTTCAAGGGGTCTTTAACTCCAGGTGTTGAGGGTTGGTGTCCTTCAACTGTTAGACCTGTCTCTGCTTCAACAGATAATCAGATCATTAGCAGGACTCTGCAGAGCTCGGCTGCATACCGATGAGGTGATTCAACCACTTGATTCTGGCGTGTTGGACCAGGATGCACCTAAAAGTTGCAGGACCCCAGACCTGGAGGCCTGGGAGTAAAGGTGTGCTGTATGGCTCCTTCTCCCCATTTGATGACTTTGATGTTCACTTTTGGGCTATTTCATAACTTCCTCATTTTCCATGATATTTCTTGAAGCACTCAACAAAACTTTAAATACCTCTGAGGCATTTGTGGTGCGTAGCACAACGTCTCAGGAACCAATCCCCTGTGTTGATTGACCAGTGAGTGTCTTGGCCACCTCTTGTCGTGACTTCAATAGACGTGTCTCTTTCCTTCCTTGTGCCAAACATTTCTATGAGGAAATGTAGAACCCTTGACGTAAGCAGATGAGCACAGATGAGCAAATGTGTTATTGTCCCTATCACACATTTGGTGTGTGGCTGGCTAAATGGTCTGTGCTTGTATAGTGCTGTACTGAAGGACAGCGTCTCTGACCAGGTGGTAGCAGGAGCACCACAGGGCTCTGTACTCTCTCCATCCCTTTTCACAAGACTTTCACACACACAGTTACACACTAATGGTGATAAAGTTCAATCAGTCTGCGGGTCTTTATAAACGTTGCCTACAAATAATAATTTTTAGTCAATAATAATTAGAAAAATAATACACAGTAAAGCACCTTCTCAACAAAAAGGAGCCAGACCAAGAAAAATAACTCTGCTCTAATAAACTGGAGGTGTTAAAATGTTCGCCATCAAGGCACGATTATTTATTTATGGTCCACGTTAAGTTGATACCTTCAAAAAGCCCAGATGGATTTTGTCATTTTGTGTCGTATTAGTAAACATTTCTGATTAATCGACAATAAACATTTGGCTGAATTGAATGATTGACATCTACAGCGCCCACGTTCTCTCCGTCTTCCACTTCCAAGGGTTTTTCATGTTGAATTTTCCCAAAACACTGCAGTTCTTTGCAATTTTTTATTTATTTTTCCTGCAGCTGTTCAGAATACAAGTAAATCAAAATGTAATTTAGAAACAGCGACAAAAGCCTATATTTTCATACTTAGAGAAAAAGAGCCGTACTGAGCATCACTCAGAATAACACCTGATATGAGACGTCTGAGTCACATGCTCACAGTGCATAATACTCATTTA